GACGGTATACGGTTACGGTAACACGACACGAACCTAATTAGTACTACAACAAAACGAAAGTTATTACTCCTCACGCCTAATTAAAAAAAAAAAGTTTGCCAACCCCTGAGCTAAAGCCTCCTTCATTCACATCCCTGGTGCCTGGGCTGGGATGAGTCCAAGGCTGGGCTCAACACAGACTCATCCCGCACACCTACGTGTGGTCTTGCCTGGTGGCCCGGGCTTCCTTACAGCGTGGTTGCTTCAGGGTAGTTGGGCGTCTTGCCTGGGACCTCAGGGCTTGAAGAGCAATTGTTCTAGCACGTGAGGTGGAAGCTGCAATGGCTTTTGTAACCCAGCCATGTAAAAGCCCGTGCGCTGTGTTGGCTTGTCACTGGCCAGGGGTTGATGGTGTCAGTTCTGCTGGAAGCAGTCACACGCCTACTCAGACTTAAGGGGAGGAGGCGTGAGCCCACCTGTCGATGGAAAGAGTCTAGGGGATCTGTGGCTATGTTTTAAAATGTCCCCTGGTGGGTGAAAAGGGCAGAGAGTTGTTGTGGGGATGAAATGAAATCGTTAGCATAGAAGCATGGGGAGGGGTTGCTGGCACGTGGTAAGTGTCCAGGAAATTCTAGCTCTTATTATCAGCTTACATCTTGGGCTTCCAATCAAAGAGTCTGGCTGGGTCCACTTTTCCTTTGTCGCCTGTAAAAAATGCAGGTCTCTAAGCGAGGGGAGCCCTGCATCTAGGGTTGGGGGGCTCATGGGGTTCGAACGGTGAGGCCCCTGGGAAGTAGCTGGATATAACCATAACCATCCTTTTCTCTGTGACCTCCTGGGGGTTGAGTGGCTCAGAGCCATCTCAAGACCTTTCTCTCTGGCTTTACAGATGCAGTGAGCCTCGGTGTCAGATGGGACAGAAACATGGGTCAGATAGATCCGTGACAGTGACATTGTTCTGCTTGTCTGCCAGCAGGAGGATTTGTTAAGAGAAATAAATTAATGTCTATTTAGAAAGTGGCTCTGACATGAAGGTGGACAGGACCTATCACAGAGCTGGGTTATTTTTTACCCCTCTTTCTCTTCTCACTGGCTTCACGCAGATTCTTTTTGTCAGACGATGATGTGGTTAGTGCAATAGATTTCTGAGCCAATTTGGTCCGAAGATTTCCTTTTCATTGCTGTCTGTCTCCTCTCTCGTCTAGCTCAGTTATACCAGGTTCACAAAAGCCCAGCTTAGTCACTCATCATAATGGCCTGAGTGTTCACTTTGGAGTCAGAGGTCCAGGCTTGAAACTCAGTTTCTTCCACCCTCTACTTTTGTTTTCCCCTCTGTAAAATGGGCATTTTATCGTAGACGTTATTGGGATTGTAGAGAGGACTCGGTTCAGTGATATGTGTAAAGGGTTGAGTCCAGCACTGGATGTGCAGGGCATGGAAGAGCTTGGTGATGAAGAAGATAGACGATGAGGAGGAGGAAGAGGACCAGAAGGAGGAAGAAGAGGAGGAAGAAAGGGGATGGAGGAGGAGGAGAAAGAAGGGGAGGAAGAGGAAGAGGATGAGAGAAAGAATAGGAGGAAGAAAGAAGAGAAATGAGGATGAAAAGGAAGGAGGGAGGAATGGAAGAAAGAAGAAGGAAGAGGAGGAAAACAAGGAGGATGGAAGGATGGAGGAGATGGAGGACAAGGAGGATGGAGGAGTTGGAGGAGGACAAGGAGGATGGAAGAATGGAGGAGATGGAGGTGGACAAGGAGAATGGAGGAGATGGAGGAGGACAAGGAGGATGGAAGGATAGAAGAGATGGAGGAGGATGAAGAGTTTGGAGAAGCAGCAGCAGCAGCATCGGCTGGCTCCTTCGGGGACCAGTCTACAACTCCTGCGTTTCCACATCAAAGCGTCCAAAGTCCCTTCTGCAGTGCTGTCCGAGGCCGAAGATCTGCCTGCTGCAGTGAAACTATTTGAAGTGGCTGCAGGCTGGCTGCCCTTTTCAGTTGGTTGCAAGGAACAGAGACCCACCTAGGCTAACTCAGCAACAGGAGTTGTCTGCTGGAAGGATGGGCGTGGGGCAATGAGAGAAAGGGAAATCACGGCTCAGGAGCCAGGTCTTAGGAAATAGACGTGGAGGACTGTCTCATGCTCAGGCCAGCTCCTTGGACCTGCAGCGAGACTGCGGGTCACTGTTCTCATCCTCCATCATGACTTCGCGTGGCTTGTCTCCTCTCCGTGGGTCCACTCTGGTCCGTTACTGCTGACTGGTTTCCTCACCCTCTCCTCTCCTTTTTTCTCTCCATCATCACTTCTGCTGCCGTGTTGTTCCCACTCCTCGTAACTTCAGCTGATTTGTTCTCTGGCCTCTTGTGGCTCCTCTGTTCTCTTGAACCTCATCTCCTCTCTACCCTTGTGCTGCCTTCCAGTATTCTTCCTCTCGGTCCAGCTCATCTTTTTATTCCATATCATAGGTCACTGACCAGCTGCCATTATGTCCTGACCTGTGGTCCTGAGTTGAGCATGGGCGTTGGCAGGCACAAGACAAGTATGGCTGTTTAGGGCTGTCCATTCACCAAGGTCGATTGGGTTGGAGGGTGGGGACAGGTTCCTTAGTAAGATTCCCTGGGAGAGAGTGTTACTACCACTGTTACGTCCAAGTCAGCGCACCACTGGGTGAAGGGGGAACTTGGGAGCTGTACATGCTTCTGTTTGATTCTTAGAGTCTGATGTGCATTTCTTACTACTTGGCTTAACCCTGTGTTTCTGCTTCTGGGCTGGTGATTGGGACTGGGCCACTAACTCTCTGTATGACTCCAGCAAGTCACACTCCACCTCTGAGTCTCAGTGTCCCCATCTGCAGAATGAAGGGTGGGACTGGGTGGCCTCTGAAGGATGTTTCCACGCCTTAGCTGCACTCAGAAAGAGGAGTTTTGCCATTAGCCCTTCCCCACATGATCTGGTAGAGTTTGACTTTCCCTCTGATGGAACACAGCCTCCAGCTGCCGGTCTCATTGGGACACAGATCTGGGTCTGACTCGAGGAAGGAATTTCCCCTCCTGTTGCAGTTCTGCCAGGGAATGTGGGCGCCATATGCAACTTTCTCTTTTGCTGATTCTGTTCATTTACATCAGCCCTGAGCTACAGAGATGAGAAAGACTGAATCTCTGCCTTTAAGGAAGTAGAGATAACCATTATCTCCATTAAGATAGTTCCTCTTCCCCCACTTCATCTCTCCTTCCATCCCTCCTGCCTTTGCATCATTGATTCATGTAACATTTATCAGCCAGCTCTTATGTTTTTGTTTCTAAGTTCTGCAGATTCCAAGATGAATAAGACACAGGCTAGTGGGAGGAGATAAACCTTTTCCTCCCTCCATCTCTCCATCCCTCCAGCCCTCCCTCCCTTCATTTCTTTGCTTTTTCTTTCATTAAGGGCACATTTAACCAGGGACCACACTGTGCCTGGCACATTGCTGAGTGCTGAGACTGGGGAGCTCCTAGCCTAGAGGCACGTGAGCTGAGACGTGATTGTGTTGAAGTAACAGCGGAAGCTGAGGCTGTGTGCAGGGCTAGTCCCAGTGCAATGTGCTTACCGGCTGGAGCGGGAGGTCAGGGGGACTTCTCAGAGGAGGGGCAATTACAGTCTGAGTAACAGAAAGAAAATGGACTAAAATAAAATAGGAGTAGAACCTCAGGGACCCTTGGAACTAGAATAAAAGATGTAGCACTGGTGTCATCAGAGTCCTGGAAGGAGACGAGAAAGAGGGCAGGCTGAAAAAGCTCTTGGGGAAATCATGGTCAAAAACTTCTCCAACTGGACAAAAGACATAAACCTCTATTCCCATTTTTCTGATTAGAGAACTGATAAACATACTATATTCATGGATTGGGAGGCTCAACATAGTTAAGATGATGCTAAGTCTCCTCAAAATTGGTATCCAATTCCTATCAACATCCCAGCAAGACTTTTTTGTAGATAAGAACAGGAGAATTTTAAATGTTATATGAAAAGGCAGAGGAACTAGAAGAGGTAAAAACAATTTTGAAAAAGAAGAAAGTGGGCAGAATTACCCAATGGCAAGGCTTATATTGTTACAGTAATTAAGACCAAAGGCTGGTATGCAGATGGAAAAACAAACACCTGAAAAGAAGTTCAACATCATTAGCTGTTAGGAGAATACAAATTAAAACTGCAGTGAGAACCACTATGGTCCTATCAGAATGGCTAAAATAAAAAAATAGGAACATCTCCAGACACTGGTGAGGATGCAGAGAAAATCTATCTCTTACACATCGCTGGTGCAAGATGGTACAGACACTCCAGAGAACAGTTTTTGTATTTAATTTAAACATTAAATATGCAGTTACCATATTACCTAGAAATATTCATTCCCAGAGAAATAAAAATTTATGTTCTCTCAAAACCTGTACATGAATGTTGGTAGGAGTTTGATTCACAAGAGCCACACAGGGTAACAACTTACTTGTCCGTCAATGGATGATTGGTTAAATGAACTGTGGTACGTCCATACCATGAAATACGACTGAGCAATGAAAAAGGAACCAACCATTGGTGCACGCCACAACTTGGATGAATCTCCCGAGAACTGTTCTGAGTGGGAAAAAAAAAGCCAGTCCAAAAAGGCTACATACTGTATGATTCAATTTATATAGTATTCTTGAAATGACAGAAATACAGCACTGGAGAATAGATAAGTGGTGCCAGGTGGGAGGGAGAGGGGTGAGCAGAGGGGAGGAAGTGGGTGTGGTTAAAAGAGGGCAAAAGGAGGGATACTTGTGGTGATGGAAATGTTCTGTGTCTCACCTGTATCAATTTAATGTCTGGGTCATGACACTGTACCCTAGTTTTGCAAAATGTTATAATTGGAGAAAACTGAGTCCGGCCGATGCATGAGACCTCCATGATTCCTTACACCTGCCGGCAGATCTGCAGTTATCTCAGATAAAAAAGCTTACTTGCAAAAAGAAATACTGTCATTAATGTCATCACTCCCTTTTGTTAATAACAAAGTGCCTCAGCCCAGTGCTCAGGGTGTAGGTACGTATACATTTAAACTTCACAACGGATCCACAAGGTGGGTGTTCTTAGCTCACGTGAAGGGCAAGGAGAGACTGAGGCTCACAGAGGCGAAGTCACTGACGTGGAGGCAGTGTGACCAAGTGGGAGTGGACTGGACTCTGGGAGGGGACATGTCCATTGGGCTTCCTGTGCTGATTGGTGTTTGCTACATCAGCTCTGGAGTTTGGCAGGTAAACACACCTGTTGACAAATAACCAGATCGCAACAAAACCATCCTTGGGCACCTGGAGCTGAGCTGACGGATGGACCACTGAGTAATTTGGGGACCAAATGATCACTATCCTGTGAGTAAACAGATGAAGGTGTCCCCGAGAACTCTCAGCTCTGATGGCTTTGAGAGGCAGGAAGGGTGTTGAGGGTGCTTTTTTAGGATGTTGAGACTTGCTAGTATTATTCCCATTTTACAGGGGGCAAAACTGAGGAATGGAGAGGTTAAGTACTGTGTTCTGGGTGCATAGGGAAGAAGTGGCCATGGGATTCTGAATCTGCATTTGCCTCAGTTGGGATTCTGCTCGTGTTAGTTTCCTGGGGCTGCTGTAACAGATTACCACAAACGGGGAGGTTCAGACAACAATTATTCTCTCACAGTCTGGAGTCCAGAAGTCTGAAATCAAGGTGTCAGCAGGTTGGTTGCTTCTGGAGGCTTGGAGGGAGAATCCATTCCTTGCCTCTCTCTTGACCTCTGGTGGCTCCGGCAATCCTTGGTGTTTCTTGGCTTGCGGAAGCCTCCGTCCAGCCTCTGCCTCTGTCTTCACATGGCCTTTTCCCCTCTGTGTGTCTCTCCTTTTCTGGTTCTTATAAGGACATTTGACATTGGAGTTAGTCCCCATCCTCCAATCCAGGATGATCTCATCTCAAAATCACCTGAATTACACCCACAAAGACCTTTTTTCAAACAAAGTCACATTCTGAGGTTCTGAGTGGACGTGTCCTCTGGGGGACACTCTTCAACCCACTGTTCGGCTGTTGACCGCACCCTGACCAGCGCCATTCGGAGGATGCAAACAAAGATTCTGTCTTCATCTCTGCTTTAGAGCAGTTCCAAGGGCCAGGAGAGGCAGCGCTGGTTCCAACTGAGATGCGAGGGAAGATGCTGAAGGCTTGCTCTCACGCTGTCTCTTGAGCTGTCAGGCTGCTGATTCTTTAATAAACACTCAGGAGGAGAAGTGTTAGGATGGGAAGAGTACTCTGGGCACCTCTGCACGGGACTTTCCAAAATCAAAGTGGCTCAGCCAGTGTGGCTGTCATCTCCATGGCTTTCATTATGTGGTAACCTTTAAGGCTGCGGTCCAGGCATTGGACCTGGACAGGAATTTGATTCCAGAAACTGTTCCTTTCACAGCTGCACGCAACCCGGTGGGGATGAGAAGCGGGTGGGACTTTGGAAGGATCTGGTGGTTGAGAAAAGCAGAAGAGGCGTGGAGGATGCCAGGGTGGGGTCCCTTCCTGTGCTGCTCACCCTCACTGCTGTCTCTGCTTCCCCACCTGCCCCCTTGCCCCCTGCCCTGTTTTCTTTCTGCAGGACCACATCCCTGTTCCTTACCAGCCAGACTCTAGCAGCAACCCCTCATCCACGACGTCGTCCACGCCCTCCTCGCCAGCACCCCCACTCCCTCCCAGCGCCACACCGCCTTCTCCCCTACACCCTTCTCCACAGTGCACAAGGCAGCAGAAGAATTTCAACCTGCCAGGTACCTCCATGCTTGGGAAGTCGCAGGATGGGGACTGGGTCCGTGGCAGAGCCGTGTCCGGGCCAGTCCATGCTTAAAGGCAATGGGTTAGAGGCATATGGGTTGAGTCTTACCAAATGCAGGACAGTTGCTACATAGTATCTTATTTGATCATTAGACTAGCCATAGGTAAGTATGATCGGCTCCATTTTACAGATGAGGAAGTTGAGGCTCAGAGAGCTAAAGGGACTGAGAGACTCCATCTTTTGGTGAGCAGCCACCCAGGGTCTCCCCCTAAGTCTGAGTCACAGGGGGAGCCATCTGCTCTGGAGCTGACCATTGTTTTATGAGCTAAATCAGTTTAAATTGGCAACAGAATCAGGTGCCAGGGATCTCAGGGACCACATGCCTGAGCAGGGCTGCCTTTGGAGTCTTACAACCCAGATGTTGGGGTAGGGCTCTGAAGGAGTGGGCTGGAGTCCTGGCTTCAATATCCAGCTCTCTCAGGTCCCTGCTGGGTGACCTCTGACTTCAGTGTTCTCACCTCTGAAAGGATGTAGATGGACGACAGGAACCCCAAACAGCCTTCAGCCCATGAATTCCAGAGCACTCGGCTGCTGACCTGAGACTAGGTGCTGGGCTGTGAGATGGTGGAGAAACAGCATAAGATGTTTTGGCTTCTTAGACTTAAGAAAGAGATCTTTCCCTGTTCTCAGGCAGGCCAGACCACCCCTTCCCGTCCCTTCTGGGGCTCAGCACAGCCCACTTCCTGTTCTAGGGCCCCAAGGATGGTTCCAGCACTGCCATATTTGCAGCACTGTAGCTGACGTCAAGATAGAGGCTGGTGGGATGAGGTCTGGCTTGGCTGGTTGGGACCAAAGTCTAGATCTGTGTAGTTCAGTATGGTACCCACTAGCCACATGCAGCTGTTTGAATTTAAATGAATTAAAATTAAATATAATTAAAATTGTAATTCCTCAGCCACACTAGCCCCATTACAACCGCTCAGTAACCACATGGGGCTAGTGGCCGCCATATTGGATAGCACATTGGATGGTGAAGAACCTTTCCCACCGTCACAGAAAGTCCCACTGGGCAGTGCTGGTCTAGGGGCTAATTTCCTCCGGAGCCAGTGAGCTTCACGCAGTGGAAGAAAAATCCCAGGTCCTCAGCCACAGGTCATACCTCCAAACCTAACCTGCCATGAGTGAAGGTCTAGGAAATGAATGAAGACCCAACCCCCCACCTGGGCAACACCCAGGTACAACCACCCACTAAGGACAAGCTGATCGTGTCACCTGCCCACACTGGATAGATCTGGGCTGTGTCCAAAGGGATAGAGTGGGTTTTGAAGTCTTGCATTATTGGGATTTTTTGGTGAAGCCCAAGCCTAAGGCAGCCTCATACCTGTGGTGTGCGGGCCACTCACCTGGCGGCCAACAAGGACCATACTGTGAGTCACCAGCTGGAATCACCTCGGCTAAGTGCCCCGGAGTCAATTAGGGAAAAATTGCCCAGCGTTCTCCCACCGCCACCGCCAGCATAATCCATTTCCACTTCTCTGGAAGAGGGTGAATGGAGAAAAGGCCCTTTGACAGCCCATGACCCCCCCCCCCGCTAGTTCTATGGGGGAGGAGCCTGGGTGCTTTCCTAGAGCTGTTTCACCCCCTACCCAAGACACCCACTTCCGGGCTGTTTTCCTGAAACTGTTTGCAGCAGTTTGATCTAGAACATTCTTTTGCAAAAGAAGCTGTGGGGTTAACGGTCTCTTGGCTCACTCATTATCCTCAGGACCCGCGAAGGGAGAGTTTTCTGTTAGAAGCCCACGTGTGGCCGGCGCAGGCATGGTGGGATTTGTGATTGTGCTCTGCCGGCTGGGTGGACCTCTCTCGTCCCCGCCGTTCCCTTCTGAGTCCTGGCACCATGTTGGCCATGGCACAGTGTAGGGTGGAGTCAAGAGGGCTACATGGACAGACAGACCTGGGTTTGGAACCCAGATTTGTCCCTTCCTACCTCCAAAGCCTTGAGTGTGGCACTGACTTGGTTTGGGTCTCAGTTTCTCACCTGTAAAATGGGTGTAACATCCAAGCTTGTGTGACATTTGCTGTGGCAAGATACATAAAGGGGCTCTGTGAAGGACTAGTGTTCAAACTCCTTCTTTCTTTGGAGCCCCCTAGTGCCATGTTTTGTGTCCATCTCTTCCACCAGAGTGTCAGCTCCATGAAACTTGGAAACATGTCTGTTTCATTCACCCCTCTCCACCCAAAGCCTAGCACAGTGCCTACTGCTGAAGGCACTAATGAAATGTTTGTTGAATGAATGAGTGAATGAGCAACTTGAGGATCATGCTGTGCCCAGAGCTGCATGAGTTTTTTTTTTTCTCTTTACACTGTTTTCTGGCCCTCAGACTACATTCATCCCTTCATTTCCATAATGGATATTCACTGAGCATCTGCTACATGCCAGGTCCTGTACGAGGCCTGAGGTGTGGGGCAGTGCACAAGCCAGACATGGCCTGTATAAGTTTGCTGTTGCTGCTGTAACAAATTGCCACAAGCTCAGTGTCTTAAATCTATTATCTTACAGTTATGGAGGTCAGGCGTCCAAGTCAGTTTCACTGAGCTCAGAATCAAAGTGTCTGCAGAGCTCGTTTCTTCCGGAGGCCCTCAGGAAGACTCCACCTCCTTGCCTTTTCCCAGCTTCTGGTGGCCGCCTGCATTCCTCTGCTCGTGGCCCCAAATCACTCCAACCCCTGCTTCTGTTGTCACTTCTCCTTCTCTGATTCTCTCTGTGACACTGATCCTCCTGCCCCCTCTCATGAGGATGCTTGTGATTATATTTAAGACTCACCCAGAGAATCTAGAATAATCGCAGATTCCAGGGATCAGGATGTGGACATCGTGGGGATGGGAGTGGGAGGGAAAGGCATTATTCTGCCTGTCACAGTCTCTGTTCTCAAGTTAACCAAGGAAACACAGAAGAAAACAGAATTAGAAGTTGTGATAAGGGCGATGAAGAGACAGAACAGTGCTGGGAGCAAATTCAGGAAGAGAACAAGTTTATTTTGAAGGGTCGAAGGCAGCTGAGTTCTGAAGACAGGGGAGAGTTGTCCAGACACAGAGAGGAGGGCATGTGCAAAGGCCCTGCTATGGGAAAGAGCTGGAGAGAAAAATGCCCCAATGGCTCAAGTGTCTATAAACAAGGCACCAAGCAAGACTCAAGCCCGCACTGGGGAGGCCTAGCCGGGCCTTGCAAGGCGTGGCAGGAATTTAGATTTTATTTAAGACACAGTGGGAGGCAATTGAAGGATTTAGGCAGGGGATGATTTGATCTTTCTTCCTTCCTTCTAGATCCTTCCTTGCAGATGACCACTCAGGCTGCTGTCTGGGGAGCCCACAGGGAGGGAATGGGGGCTTCAGAGTGAATACTTGGGTTCATTCGCTGCTCCTTGGACCCGCTTCTCACTGGTGTCCGTTATCAGCCAGAAAAATAGGCAGGGCTCACAGCATCCCTTCCCTCCTCCTCTGGCCGAGACTCTCCCCTATTCAGCCGCCAGGAACGAGCTGTTCTCAGGCACACGGAGGGGTCCAGGCGAGGACTGGCTCTGCACGTGGAGGTGTTTGCTGGGTGTCCCATTGCCTGACACCTGTCCCTCCTCAGAGCGATGCTTACTCACCATCACCGAGCCCCTCCTCCTTAAAAGAACATTGAACTGCCAGCTAACCTCTTCTGCAGACACTGAATCCCCAGTCCCAGTCGGGGAGTGAAGAGATCAGCTAAGCCTCTTGAGAATCCCGGGGAGTTTTTCTTTTTTAATTGTAGCCCCTTGTTGACGAACAAAATGTCTGCATGCAATGAAAAAAACCTACGTTATCGAATGGAAGAAAGGTCCCTGACGTCGTGGAGGGTGGATTTCTCTTCAAGCTTTGCTCTGTAACCTTGAATGAGTTGCTTCCCATCCCCGGCGCCTCATTTACCAGAATCAAAAATGCACCCATTTGGATTCCAGCGATCCAAGATACTGGGGGTTGCTGTGCTAAAAGAGAGTTGAGTAATTCAAAAAACATAGGCAGCTCCTCCGCTGGGTGCAAGGCACCAAGCCAGGTGCTTGGGATCCTGTTTATAAATCAGTTTATAAATCAGTTCCAACCTCGGAAGCAGCTAATGACTTCGCTCTCTGAAACTATCCGATTGTCTCTTAATTAGAAAGCATTCTTGTCTGTTAGTTAAGAGCGTTTAGAGAGATACTGGCTTATTTATCGCAGCTAATCCTGATGCCGCGCCTACTGTGCGCTCTTATCTCATGTACTGATGAGCTCAGCCCTCTGAAGGGGAGATGATCGTTAGCCCCATTCTACACATCTGGAAACTGGGAGAGTTGCCCAAGCTTTTACAGGAAGAACAGGGATTCACCCCGACGGGCCCAGCTTCTAGACTCCGGGCTTGGAACCCCTGTGCTAATCCCTGCTGAGCCAGCGCCCAGCTGTAGCTCGTCCCCAAACAAATAAAATTGTTTCCGGAAGTGTATTCCCCAACTCAGTCTCACGTCTGACCCCATCCCTGCTCACTGCCTTTATTTGAGGATATAATGCATTGTATGGCCGGCTCCCCACCCCTGACACCCCTCGGACCCCCTGCTCCAGGGCCCCCACCCTGCTGGAGTCGGAAACCTAAGCAGATGCCCAGAACAACGGGCCTCCAGTGAGCAGACTGGAAATAAAATGAATTGTAGGAGAAGCAGCAGTGAGGTTAAGGAGATTTCTTGTACATAATTTTCCCCCTAAATATTGAAATGAATTCATGCTTGTGGTAGACAGAACAGTGGTCCCCTAAAGAGGATCTAATCCCGTTCTAATCCCGGGTTCTGTGAAGATGTTACTTTATGTGGCAAAAGGAACGTTGCAGCTGTTCCTAAATTAAGGCTCTTGAGGTGGAAGATCGCCCTGGATGATCTGGATGGACTCTGAGTGCAGTCACGAGGCTCCTTCTAAAGGGGAAGCAAGAAGGTCAAAGACAGTAGAAGGCTGTGTCAGGACTGGAGCAGAGATTGGGGTGGTGGGGCTGGGAGCCAAGAAGCAGGCAGGTGCTACCGCTGGAAAAGACAAAGGACAATTTGTCCTTCGGAGCCTCCGAAAGAGCTCAGCCCTGCCTGAGACCCTTCTACTGTTTTCAGACAGAATTCTGAGTCCAGCATGCTAAGAGGATGCCTTGGTATTGTTTGACCAGCCAGTTAATGGTAATTTGTTCACAGCAGCAACAAGAAAACAAAAACAATGCTTGATGCAGAAAATTTGAAAACCACAGGAAACACATAGAGGACTCTTTCCATTTTTATTGAGATAGAGTTGACGTATGTATACCCTTGTGTATGTTTAAGGTGTACAATGTAATGATTTTAAATGTGTGTATACTGCAAAATGATCACCACAATAAGTTTAGTTCACACTCATCACCTCACATAGTTAGAAACTTTTTTCTTCGTCATGAGAACTTTTAAGATCTACTGTCTTCAGCAACTTTCAAATTTACAATACAATATTGTTAACTAGAGTCACCGTACTGCCCATGACGTCCCCAGGACTTCTTTGTCTTACAAGTAGAATTTTGTACCTTTTAACCATCACCCAATTCTCCTATCCCCATCCCCTACTCCTGGCAATCACAAATCTGATCTCTATTTCTATGAGTTTGATTTTTAGATTCTGCATAAAAGTGAGATCATATCACTTGTCCTTCTCTCTCTGACTTATTTCACTTAGCTTCCTCTGGGTTCATCCATGTTGTCACAGATAGCAAGATTTCATCCTTTATTATGACTGAATAGTATTCCTTGTGTGTGTGTGTGTGTGTGTGTGTGTGTGTGTGTGTGTGTGTGTAACATCTTCTTTATCCATTTAGCTGTTGATGGGCACTTAAGTTGTTTCCATGTCTTGGCTATTGTGAATAATGCTGCAGTGAACACGGGGGAGCAGATATCTCTTTGGGATAGTGATTTCATTTCCTTCAGATATATTCCCAGCTGTGGAAATGCTGGATCACATGGTCAGAAATTCTAATTTTAATTTTTTGAGAAACCCCCATCCTGTTTTCCACAGTGGCGGCACCAGTTTATCTTCCCACCAACAGTGTGCTAGGTTCCCTTTTCTTTACATCTTCACCAACACTCGTTATTTCTTGTCTTTTTGTTAATCATCATCCTAGCAGGTGTGAGGTGAGATCTCACTGTGGTCATAAAGGATTTATTTTAAAGCCACTGTGATCACTGCCAGAAGAGAGAAGAATAGTGTGTTAGATTATGGCTTTAGAGACTTTTTCTCTACGTGTGTGTCTTTATGCAATTAACAAAGATGAGCTTGTGCTCAGCATGACTCTCTGAGTTGGGGAGCTCTGTTTTCAGGTGTGTCGATGGGAGGGTTGGCTTGGATGCTTAGAGTCCTGGTTTCTTTAGACATGTTCTCAGTCTCTTGGGATTCAGGGTGTCTGGAGAATCTGGAAACTGTCAAGGGCGGGCAGAGGACCCACAGGGTGGCTGAGGGGCCAGCTCTGGGGCGGCACTCACTGTGGCCTTTTCTTTCTCTCGCAAGCGTCCCACTACTACAAATACAGGCAGCAGTTCATTTTTCCAGGTGAGTTCCGTGTGCGGTGCAGGGGCTGCTGGAGTGGATGGAGGCGAATGTTGTTGGGGTGGACAGGCTCAAAGGGGCTGGGGTGGAATCACCAGACCACAGGCTAGTGACTGGCTGTGGAAGTGGAGAAAGAAAGGGGGGCGGTCCAGGCACGATGACACCAACAAGGTCCCAAAGCACAGTGGAAAGGCCCGAGTGGGTGGTCTGCAGTGGAAGGATGGACATAGGGGAGGAAGGGTCCACAGCCACACAGCAGGGGAGAGATGGTCCAAGGGGCTTGAGTCGGGCAGTGGGAGACGTGAAGCCGAGTGGCCTCGTCATCCCAAAGGGAACCCAGGAGTGAGGACGATCCAGAGGTGATGCTCAGTGGATGCTTCAGGCCAGGGGCTTGGGGGTTCCAGCTGCTCCCTGGTGACAGTGGGGAATCTTGTTCAGGATGTCATCTACCCCACTGGCGCCTCTACGCAGGTGAAGTTCAAGTGGTTGTGGAAGGGAGAGGGCATTGAGCAGCCCCAGGGACTCACGATCTGGTGAGAAGTTACTAGCTGCCAGCATCTCCCAGAAGTCGGGCTTTGGAGGATGGTTGTGGACCCCATGTTTGGTTTCTGACTGTCTGATCTTTGGCTCTCAGATGTGGTTCCAGTGCCAGAGACACCGACCCGGGCACCCCAGGTCATCCTGCATCCAGTGACCTCGAATCCAATGTGAGTGGAACAGAGACCTTTTCCCCTGCCCTGGCCCTCCAGTTTGCTCAGAATCCCGGTCTTCTTCCTCTTTCTGGAATTGATGCGGTGGGAGAAGTATGAGGGGGCCATAGAGACACAGGGAATAACTCAGGCAAAGAGAGGGAGAGGGTGACAGCCCAGGCCGAGAGAGGGGCAGGGCCGGCCCCCACCAGTCAGTTCTGCCTTGTGTCCCTGGCCCGGCCGGTCAAGTGTGATTTCCAGGGGCTGGACCGTTTCCTTGAGACCACCAGACCCTCCCATGATGAGAAAGACAGCTTTTCCCAGACAAGAGCTAGAGTTTAATGAAAAGGCATTTATTCTGTATCATTCTCCCTCTTTTAAAAAGTATAATTGGGGTTTATGCCATGAATCGGCACCTTACAGCCTATGGGACAAATCCTACCTGCTGTGTGTTTTTATAAATAAAGTTTTATTGGAGCACAGCAGCACCCATGTTCCCAACATGCCATCTACGGCGGCTTTCAAACTACAACAGCAGAGATGAGTAGTTACAGCAGAGACTGGCCCACGAAGTCTAAAATAGCTACGATCTGGCCCTTTCCAGAGCAAGTTTGCCAGCCCCTGGTTTATACCATTATAAATATACAATAAGCTGATCTGGGGAAATTTGGACTATTCTGTAAAAAATTAAAAAATAAAAAAGGAAGGAAAAATCATCTCTTATAATCACACCACTCTTAGATGTGTGCTCATTCTATTCATATGGTATGTATTTGTGATCCACGATCTTTGCAGTTTCCACCCTGCTTTGTTATTCTTTAATGCTATAACATCAGATTTTTCATGTTATTCTTCATACACATTATTTTTTTTAATGGTTCTATTTTGTTCTGGTTTCTTTAGAATTCTTTTTTTGGGGGGGGTTAATTAGGTATATGTATGTATTTATCTATTTAATGGAGGTGCTAGGGGTTGAACCCAGGACCTCGTGCATGCTAAACACACACTGTACCACTGAGCTATACCCTCCCCCCATACACGTTATCTTTCATGGCTGTAAAATATCATGTCAACGTGGAATAATTTCCTTAACCATTTCCCTACTGCTGGGTAATATCTCTTCCCATATTTCACTGCTGTAAACAGTGCTGCCACGAACATCTTTGTGTGTATGGCGTCTTTAGCATCCTTAGGACACAGACCCTCTTTCTAGGTGGTCTATTGCTTGTCCAGCCAAAGTGAGATCACCTTCTGTAATGTAACCTCTTTGGTTGTGACCCAAGTCTGGGGCAGGCTAGGGACCGGATTGTGATTTCACAGGTTTCCCGACTCACATTTTTGCCTCCATGGTTTTTCTTCTGGCTCCCCTAGCTGCTCCATCCTTTCTGACCCATATGTCGTAGACTTTGTTAAAGACCCAAATGGTACATCTCTGAAATCAAAGGAGTAGCAATTTGCCGGGGGGATATTGTGCTGACATCTGGCTCCAGATCGTTTCTCTGCTGCACATAAACCAATTCCACAATTTGTGCAAGATGAACTCCAGGTTATTAACTGAGAGTCAGGGAGTGCCAGCGAAAAACGGAGTCAGTAAGTGCCCGCGATCTGCTTAAATGTGCGTGGAGTGATGGGAACTGACTCTTTGCAGAAGGGAAATAATTTAATAGCCCCGGCTGCTGTAATCACGCCTTGATGTGAGCGGAGGAGGGCAGTCCATTTTGTTGGGCGTGAGAAGGGATTCCAGATGCATTATTCCACCCAAATCTCCCCCAGGGCATCCAGTTCCCAGCGGATCAGCTGTGATGGTGTGGCGTCTGCCTTCCAAGCTGTGCTATAAATTATTGCTTAATATGATGGCAAATGCTCCTTCTTTCTCCTTCTTTGAGTTCTTACAGTCTTTCAGACTCCCTCTCACCAGGAGTCCCTCCAGCAATTGGATTGCCTCTGTCTGCAGGGTCAGCAGCTTCCTGGGTGAGGTCTGAGGGTCAGGATAGGGGAACCGTGCCCCTTCCTCTCCAAGTGAGGAGGTGGGTGGGAGAATCTGCTAAGCTTCCACTGGGTAACTAAGAAGGGGACACGGTAACCACTGAGATCCCTTCCTCCCACCAGTTCTAGTTCACTCTGTAAACACGTGCACGTCCTCTACTCTAAAAACCCACTCCCCACAAAATCCTTTAAAACACACCGGGCCACACATTTCCCTCACTCTCAGACATCCCCAGTACAAAACCCAATGACACCGTCAACCGTGGCATGCCCCCAACATCCCTAACATGTACACCCAGCTCACATGCACAAAACCCCTGCCCAGAGCGCATCCTGTAAGACCCACACAGGGCTCGATAGATACTCAGCACTCCCACTGTGCCCGCAGCTCCCAGACCCAGACCTTTCTCATACTCAGAACACAACTGCACCTCATGAGCTCCTGAATGCACAAGATACACACACACACACCCCTGTGACTTCCAGCCCAATACAGCCTCGCTTTCCCCTCCTCATTCTCATCCCACACATCTCCATCGAATGTGATTGGCAAAGTCCAACTTGAAACACTGTGAGCATTCAAAGATGTCTAGTACCCTCTCTCCTGGGAATTTCCATCACCCTCCACTTGTTCAGTTCGTATCTAACCTTCCACCCTTGTCACTTGTAGCCTCTCTGTGCAACAGCAGTGGTATAAATATTCCTTAAAGTCAGGAGCCCCATCAATTTCAACTCTGTATCCCTCTAAGGGCCTGGCACTGCCCCCGGCACCTAATTCTAATCAAATGAGTGAATGAATGAATGAATGAATGAGCAAACAAACACATGAACACTAGGATCCTTTGAAAAGAGTCAGAACAGTAGAGATCTGACTCATTCTGTCCTAGGGAACACCTAGAACTTTGGGGATCCTGCCACCCGTGGAATTTAGGCCAATTTATAAGGAAGCTGCTAGATTAGTGGAAACCAAAGCAACAAAGAAAAATGAGCCCTGAGAAAACTGGAAAATCTACTTAAAACAATGTCCTTGTGCACCGCTCCTGGGTGGCGAGGTTGTGGATTATTTTAGACACAAGCGTTGAAGTGAAATTGGGGAGGGAAGGCTTGATGGTGAGAACTTCTCATTTAAGACATTTCAGACAGTGATCCACTCAGTACACAGACCCCTCTTTTCCCCTGAGGGTCACCTCTGTTTTTCTTTCTTTAAAGCTTGGAAGGAAATCCATTACTTCAAATTGAAGTGGAGCCAACCTCAGAGGTGAGAACTGGAGAGCAATGAAGCAACTTGTTCCAGGGGGGCTGCCCACCTGGCAAAGCCAATGGATGCTTGATGACGCAGAGGGCTTGGGGCAGGCTGGGGGAGCAGGGGCCCCGTTTGATGGATGTTGTAACTTCAGGGCAACTAATGAGCGGGGGGCCCCTCCCAGCACCAAGCCTAATGGGCCGTTACGCGGTATGCATCACGGAAAAGCTGGTTGTGCGGAAGCTGGCGAGTGATTTGCATTCTTAGTTGAAAATTCAGCTCAGGGCGGTGTGAGTACCAAGGGGGATGTGCCCTGCTGCCTTTCAAATAACGCATGGGAGGCAGAGACGGGGGTACTGAGGGACACTGGGCATGGCGAGGTGTCAAGAAAGTTCCGTGGCTTCTTCCCACCTGCCAGAGCCGCTGGGGGAATAAATGAAGTAACGAGGTATTCGGGGTGAGAACCAGAGCCCTGACGCCTCGGCTCTGCTGGGATGTCCTTAACTGAAAGGGATGGAGTCAGGGTTTCCACAGAATATCATGGCCTTCTCTGGAACTATGGTGGTAGTTGGAAAACAATCCCAAAAGAAGCCATGTTTCCGGCGGCATTTCTCCTGAGTGTACCACTGGGGACAGCTTGCTCAGACACCTGCCCCCAGCCAGGGGGCCCCTTTCTTGGGCTGTCCTGTCAGGCCCTGAAAATGCCCCGGCTCAGGTACCTGCTGCTCCCCCATTCCAGCAAAAGAACCCATGGTTACAGGGACCCCCAGACACCATGCTGGGAAGGCAGTTAGGCCTAAAGTGTCGAACTATTGCGGTGGTCATGTATAAGTGTATCCCAGTCATGTGGCACGTGGGACAAAAATGCAGACTCCTGGCCCTGGCCCTGGCCGGCTGATATTCTGATTCAGAAAATCTGGGTGGCGCCTAGGAATCTGCATGTTCTCAGCCATCGCAGTGGTCAAGTGATCTTCACCTCATTGAAAACCTCCCACAGCCCCCAGGGGCCGATGTCATTAGCTCCCCTTTACGATGAGGAAAGGAAGGCTCAGAGAAGTGAAGTGACTTGCCCAAGGTCACACAGCAGCCAGATTCCAGCTTATCTGTTCTGACTGTGAAGCCCACTCTGTCCACCTCTCACTCGTGTATCTCCTGCCCTCCCAGCTGCACAGGAACCCCAGGCCTCTGGCCTGCACAGAGTAGCTCTGCCATCTCCCAGCTTCTGTCTCATCAATTCCAAATTCCCCGGGGAAACAAAGGTCTTCCGGGCTGAGGGTTGTCGCATGCTATATGCAGGTGTACGACGTACCCGCGTTGCAGCCTGCCGCCTTTCTTCCTCCCGCGTTCGTAATCAGGCAGGTCAAAACGTCGTGGTAGAATGGGGGGCCTCGGCCGTCAGGAGTCGGAGACCTGGATCTCAGTCCTAGCTCTGCCTGGCTGCCTAAACCCAGAGCTCGGCCTTTCCCAGGCTGACCATGCATCCCCATTTGCCGTGGGAGTCCCAGGAAACGGAAACAGGTGGGCCCCGAAGCATTTCGCCTCGCTGAGCCTGTTTCCGCCTCAGCACAGGAGGGGTGGGTTATCGCCGTCTCCCCTTCAGCGCCTTCGTGGTGGCACGAGACCAGAGCTGCCTGGGCAAACAGAGACACGTGTGCGCCAGGCGAGAACGCGCACAGAGCGGCGCCCGGACCTAGGCGCGCACAGGGGGCCCCAGCGGGGCCCGGTGGGGGGCTGGGGCGGTGGCCGGAACTGACCGCTCTCCCGCTCCGGCCACAGAATGAAGAGGGCCACGATGAGGCCGAGGAGTCGGAGGACGACTTTGAGGAGATGAACCTGTCCCTCCTCTCGGCCCGGAGCTTCCCGCGCAAGGCCAGCCAGACCAGCATCTTCCTTCAGGAGTGGGACATCCCCTTCGAGCAGCTGGAGATCGGCGAGCTCATCGGGAAGGGCCGCTTCGGGCAGGTGTACCACGGCCGCTGGCACGGTGAGGTGGCCATCCGGCTGATCGACATCGAGCGGGACAACGAGGACCAGCTCAAGGCCTTCAAGCGGGAGGTGATGGCCTACCGGCAGACGCGCCACGAGAACGTGGTGCTCTTCATGGGCGCCTGCATGAGCCCGCCCCACCTGGCCATCATCACCAGGTCAGTGCCGCCTGCGCTCCCCGCCCGCGGACTCGTTCCCAGAGCTCCGCTTCCCCCTTGCCCCATATTTGCGGAGCAGTGTCTCCGAGACTCACTTTCCCCAAATGTAAATTGAACGGATTGGACTAAATCAGGGGGTCAGGAAACTTTCTGTAAAAGGCCCAGTGGTATTTTCGGCTTGGCAGGTTGTACAATTTCTGTAGCAGCTGCTCAGGTCTGCCTGAAAGCAGCCTCAAACAGGTTGTACGTGGATGTACGTGTGTGGCTGTGTGCCACTAAAACTTTATTAACTCAGTGAGGCGGTGGGCTGGGTTTGGCCTCCAGACCCTACTTTGTTGACCCCTGGTCTAACATTCTAATAAGTTATCCTGGCTTTCGTGAAAACAGCAGGGCGTGTTTGCAGAGCTCTACCATTGTTGTTTTAAATCTCCAGGATCCATGGTCTATAGCCCCACAAAAGGGGGTGGTTAATAGAGAACTGATATTAAGAAAATGTCAGATGGTAGGAACTTTCTTGGATTGGCTCTCTCTGACCTCGCCCAGTGATCTGGGCATTGAAGAAAAAAAAAACAGCTTTGGTTTCAGTTGAACAGTTCTGGAACAATCCTTTGGTGTGTTTTTAAACTCTGGCCTCTGCTCCCCTGTTGTGCTGGGACTGGCCACAGCAGCAGCGTTCTTGTGTGGCCTGTGATGCCAAGGATCAGTTAGGAGCCTTCTTATTCCTATTCTCAACTCAAGCAGTAAGCTTCCAAATATATAAGCCTCATATCTTGCCAAGGGCTGTAGTGGAGGCTGAGGGTTTAAGGAAGAGCTGATGTGTCTTTGATCTGTTCCCTTGAGATCCATACGAAGCCTCCTTGAGTCCATTTAGAAGACCTTGGTGATTGGTAGAAGGTGTGTTACTGTCCGTCACCATTGCTTATGCAGTTGGTGGGTTGACTGGAACCCATGTGTCAAATGGTAAGTGCTTACAAAGGACTGGAGATCTAGGGATGGCCCTTCAGTCCTCCTTAAATGAGGGTAAAAATGGTGGTTCTCAATTCTACACAGGACCAGAAGTGGCTCTCAAATCATCAACCCAGATCATAATCAGGGACTGAGCTGTTCGATTTGGTGATTGTATCAGTAAGCTTTTACTGAGTAACAAACTACCCTCAAAACTTCAGTTTCTCTCTAGTCTGCAAACAGTTCTTCTGGGCTGAGCCAGGCTCAGTAGCTGGGCTCTTGGATGTGTCATTGGCCCACTGGAAGGGCATACTGAGGGCTGGTCAGTCTCGAATGCCCTCATTTACATGTCTGCTGGTTGGCAGACTGTCAGCGGGAGTGCCTCAGTTCTTCTCCACGTGACCTCTCATCCCTCAGCAGGCTTGCTTGGGATCCTCCCCATGGTGGTCTCAAGGTTCCAAGTGCAGCAAGACAGCAAGAGGTCAAGCCCTGATGGACATGTGGCTTTCCCATCTCTGTGTTGCATTGGCTGATGTCCAAAGCAAGTCACGTGGCCAACCTCCATCCAAGGTGTGGAGAACAGACTACCTCTGGATGGGAGGATTCTCAATGCCATGTTGCAAGGACATGGGTGCAGGAAGAGGGACAGTCTGTGACCGTTTTTGCCACTGTGAGCAAGACCCTCGGCTCCCTTTTCTCCCCCCTTTCTAGTCTGTATCAGCTATATTAGAAGGCTGTCAACAGCCCTTTACTTGGGGTGCACACATCTGATTGGAATACGCTTTTTGCCCCACCACTGGCTTTCTCCCTCCTGCCCTCGCCAGTCTGTTACCGCAACTTTCTCTCTGGTCAGCTCCTCATCTTCTGGCCTGCTAAGCCCTCTTTTTCAAATCCCCACGTTAGGCACTTGAAAATCATCATCTCCTGTCCTTTGCCTGGCCCTTCTAAGGACCTCTGCCCCCAGCCTTCTGACTTTTTCGGGGGTATCCGTGGAACCCACTTACCCAAGCCTCCCTCCCCTCTTTCCCAAGGGCTGGCTAATTGGAAATGGATGGATTCTGTTAGCAGCCATCCTTGAAAAAAGAGTGGTCATTATGAAAATGTGTCACTCCTCCTGCAAGCCAGCTGCGTTGGCGGCCCCCTTTTCTGTTATATACAGAATTCTGAGCCCCCCTCCCCAAACATGGTAACTGCCTGCAGATTTCACAAATAGCGCAGCCTTTTCCTGGCACCGTGATAAAGACTGCAGCTTTGGGACGTGTAATTGGTCTCTGAAGTGTTTTGGTATTTTGTGTGAAGAAGCCAGATGAGCCCCAAAGAGGTGGCATTTATTCCATATTATTGTGTCATTATATATTTATCTTAGGGAGGGGCTCAGTGCCCTCCTCTCTTCCGTTCAGCACCGTCCACTTGTCGGCCACCCAGGTTTCTTATCTGAACATTCAGTTTGAAACCAAATATTTGAGTAATTTGATTAATCACTCGCATTCGTGCAATTGTCTGGCAGAGGTTGATGGTTGGATGATCGCCAACCAACTGGAACAGTTTCTGGACCCTGGATTTATTTTACAGGGAACATAAGACCAGATAATTACCTGGCATATTCTGGATAAATTCACAATGGCATGTTCTAGCCAATTACTTAGTAATTATCATCAAAGTTAACAAGTAGTTCTAAGATTAGCTTGCTTGTAATGCGATGTGTATGGCTCTTGGGAAATGAGTAATAACCAACTAGTTACCCAATTGCTAGATCCACAAATGCAATTAGCAGCAGGATTGCTAAATCGTTTCACGATTGGGTCATTATGAGATTATTGCAAAGCTATCGACAGTCTACACAATTGCTCATTTTTAAAACTCCAGATGGAATTTGAAAGCCAATTACAGATAGAGTTGAATGAAACCATCTCTTGACCTTGCCACCAAGTTTCTTATCCCTCAGTTTCCCCATCTGTAAAATGAGTAGGTGGAAGCAAGTGTTGGTTGCAGAGTCCTTCTAAGTCTAACAAAATTCTTTGGTTCTCTGAGAATGGGCCATTTGGGAAGCAGCCTGGAACAGCTCTGGAGCAGTGCTTCCCAGAATATGGTCCACCAGGACCTCCTGCATCAGAGCCACCAAAGGGAGGAGGGTCGTAAAAATGCAGGTTCCAGGGTGCTACCTCTGTTCATTTCCTAGGGTTGTCATGACAAATTGCCACAAACTTGGTGACGTAAAACGCCACATGTTCATTCTTTTATGGTTCTGGAGGTCAGAAGTCCGGAGTGGGTCTCACCAGGCTAAAATCAAGTGAGGGCTGCTTTCCTTTCTGGAGGCTTTAGAGCAGGATGTGTCCTTGCTTTCTCAGCTTCTAGAGTTGCCTTCCTTGCATTCCTTGGCTCATGGCGCCTTCCTCCAATCTTCAAAAGCCAGCAGCATGGCATCTTACTTCCCTCATCACTGGTCACATCTCTCTCTTATAGACTCTTGTGATTGCATGTGGGACCCACCTCGCTAACCCAAGATAATCTCCCATTTCAAGATGTTTATTCCCATCTGCAGAGTCCCTTTTACTGTATAAAACAACAGTCACAGTTTCCAGCAGTTCAGAGCTGGGTATCTTTAGGGGCCATTTTAAGCCTACTGCATCATCCTCGATCTGGCGAGTCAAGTCTGTTTGTAGATGAAGCCTTTTTAACCAAGCTTCCCAGCCCATTCGAATCCAACTAATATGTGGGAACCTTGCCCTGGAGAATGTCACCAGGACGTACGGTGTCGTGCCCAGCATTGGTGCCAGATGTGTCCAGCCAGTGCAAGGGGAAACGGAAACAGGGAAGTTTTCTGAGGAAAACAGACCAGACAGAATTACACAGTATTGGGACCCCAGTGGGACAGAATGTGGTGTTTATCTGGTGACAGGAGTGTGGGGCAGCCTACCTGAGCTTGGTGCCATGGAGACAAAGACAAAGCAAACCCCTGAAATTGATGACTCCCAGAGGTCTTCATTAGGGAAGCGTGAGTCCATTTCACCCATCCTGGCCATTCTACAGATGTGGAAGCTGAGACCAGGAGAGGAGAGCAGGGCCAGGACAAGAGCACACGTCTCCATCATCAATACACCTCATCCTCTGACAGCCTGAAAACCCTATCCTCCTTCAGTGCTTGTCCATCCGTCCATCCATCCATCCGTCCATCCATCCATCCATCCATCCATCCATCCTTCCGTCCGTCCATCCATCCATCCATCCA